ACCTTTTTACACTCCCACCAACAGTGAGTAAGGGTTCCAGTTTCTCCACATCCTCCCCAGCATTAGTTGTTTGCTGTTCTGTTAAATTTTGCTATTCTTACTGGGGTGAGATGATATCTCAGAGTTGTTTTGATTTTCTGTAGGTTTTTTGTAACTGTTTATTATTCCATTTTTTCCTAGCCTTTACCTATTAATGAAGCCAATGGAAGGATTCTTTCCTACAATGTATCATACTCATCAGAGGAGGAAACCCAGTCCCTTTCCGAGATTTCTGATCGTCAACACAAAGCAGAATTACAACTTGATAGAAATGATTATATCATCAGCGTGGTGGCCAAAAATTCAGTGGGCTCCTCTCCACCTTCACGGATAGCTAGTATGGAACTTCCACACGGTGAGTACCTGAGATGATTTCACATGTGTGGGCAGGACATTCAGTTCAGGAATTTTCAGTTCTCATAATGCTTCTCAGAATGTCAGCATTCTTCTGATGCCCCTGCTGCTGATGGCGTGGAAGGAGGAACAGGGAGCTTAATGCAGTCATTAGTATTGACTCTAAGCAGTTACCCTGATGGACAGGATAATGACTGTGCCCCTTATTGCCCAGTATTGACAAGTTCCTGATGTAGATACCACCCTTAAGGACTATTTTAACACTTAATTCAAATGTCACTTCCCATTACAGCTCCCAGAACGTGAGTGTAAGTTGACAGTTTGGCTGTAAGGAAGAAAAGCTTTCGGATAGCAGCTTTAGTGATAAGAAATCTTGATTAATACAGTTCTTTATTAGTATGAAAATATGCTTGTAGGTTAAATCAACGCTTCAAAGTAATCCAGAAATAACAAACATTGGTATAATTTATAAATTGATCTGAGGACCTCTTGAGGTGTAATGGATTTCAGGTATGTGCCCCCTCCTTAGCCTGTCTCCAGGACCTTTGAGTCAGGGGTTATAAGCGAGAGGTTTCTTTCCCCCTTCGTTAGCTCCTTCAAGTCCCTCCCTGATCCCAGGATTGCTGTCGTGCCCCAGTGTGGGAACACTTTCTCACCCTCCGTCTGACAGGAAAGTTGGCCCTCTTATGGTTTCCTATGTATCTTGGACTGCCAAAAGAAGAAACAAATGTGTCTTGGGAAAAGTGCAGCCAGAGAGCTCCTTAGAGGCAAGGATGACCAAGCTTTGTTTCACATACATTAGGCATGTTGCTAGGAGAGGCTGTTCTTTATAAAGGGACATCAGGCTTGGAAAGGTAGAGATTGACAAAAGAAAAGAAGACCTCAATGAGATGGATTGACTCGGTGACTGCAGCAGTGGGCTAAGGTGTGTCAAAGCTGATGAGGGTGGCACAGGACAGGATCTTTTGTTCTTAAGGTCACATTGAATCATACTTGACACCTAACAACAACAGCACAGGCATCTGATCTATTCAGACCTTATGGGAGGCAGTTTCTTACTGCTTACTACCTAACAAGTCTTTTGTTTTACCTCTGTCAGCTCTGGGAGAATTAGGAGGAAAACACGGAACATGTCAGAAGTGAATCTAGAACATAACCCAGAGTCATAGAGCTGGAGCCACACAGGCTGGGAGGGGTCTGCGTGGCAGTGGGGCAGCAGGCGCAGGAAGCAGAGGTTAGAAGGAAGTAAACTGGTGTTTTCTCTTTATTATATCGTGCCCCTTCAAAAAAAAAAAAAAGTAATCAGATGTGTGGACATCTATGAAAGGAAATTATATAGACCATATGTTTTAATAGGCAGTATTTATATATATTTACTTTTTCTATTTGAGTGAAAGTTGACAAAGCGTACTGGTTTTTCACTCAGTCATTCATAGACATTTTGTTTTATAACATTAATTACAGTTGATTAATGTAATTAATTTATTACAATGTCTGATTAAAGCTTTATTGAATATTGCCTTTTCCTTCACAGATTTAATAATTTCCATCCTCCTATCCCTCCCTACTCATTCATCCCTATTAACCCTCCAGAATTGATTCTGTCCAGTACACCATGTATTTCACAGCTTTCACAATGACAGGCGACACCCCTGTTGTCTTTTTATCTGTTTTCTCTGTGATCTTCCCTTTTCTCTACTGGGACAGTAATTGATGGAACTAACAATGGTCTAGTCATCAACTTTCTGACCAGTACTGAAGCCCCAGAAACAATTGCCGATTTACGTTTCGGATTTTTAATTAGCTTGAGCCAAAACATTCTTAGGGCCAAAGTGTTTTGTATTCTGGGACAAATTGTTGCCGTGTTCAGTAGTAGTTGCTTTACAAGTGCAGATTTTAGGATGGCCAGGCATGGTGTGTATGGCTGGGCAGGGGAGTAGCAGAGGTATAAAAGGAGGGGCAGACATCAATTCAGGGCTCTCAGCTGGATCCTGCTGTGTCAGCACGCGGGAGCCCGGGTTCAAACTCGAAATAAACTTTGTTAATTCGGGGGGGAAAAAAACAAGTGCAGATTTTATTGAGCAGTCCTTTTCTGGGCTTAACTGAACCCATAAATATAAATCAGTTCTAGGAATGGCTTTTGTTTCCTTCTGTTGCTGTGGGAAATCTCCCTTTCTTTTGACCACGTGGCTGTAACTCTTCGCCCTGTTGGTCACTCCCAACCTTGGGTGTCACGGATTTCCTTGGCGGAGAGCTGGCAGAAGGGAAAACGGTCACCACCCCACCGCTGCTCTCTCCTTCTCCTTCCTCATGGCCTGAGTGCAGTGCCTCTCAGCCGACCGTGCAGTGCTCTTTTGGCTTTGTCCTACCCTGAGCCCACATGCTCTGTCCCGCTGCACAGATTTACCTCCTTGTTGTCCCTCCCACCCCGATCTCTTGGTCTCCTAGAAGCCCCTTCACCAACCTCCAGGGTTGTGCTTTTCCATATAGAAACGGGAGAACAGTATGGGACACCCCCTGGTTTGGCACTCATTTCTTATGGGCCTGCTTGGTGTCCTCTGTGCCAGGTTATAAGCAGAGGCCTGTGCGTGGGCTCAAGGAGCTCACGTTCACAGTGGACAATGAGAGGCAGGAGTGATCTACACCAGCCTCCTCCCCCCTCATCTTCCTTCCTCCCCTCAGTCCTATCCTTCCCAAAACTCCCTGTACTGGCCCCAGCAAATCACGGCCAAATCCTGGGTGTCTTTTCATTATTTTACTCCAGCTGCTGGAAGAGTCGAGTTGGCAAAAATTTAGGCTTAATGTATGTTCTTGTTTTTGTTATGTACCGTCGAGTCACCTGTGACTCAAAAACGCTATGTACAACAGCCTTAATCCCTGCTCTATCCTGTGTCGATCTTATTGTCTCTGACACACCTACCCCCATTACCCCAGTCACTGAATCAATCCATCTCATCGAGAGTCTTCCTCTCCTGTGCCTGCCCTCCACCCTCCCAAGCATGATGTCCCTCTCCAGGGACTGGTCCCTCCTTGCAATAAGTCCAGAGTATATCAGATGAAGCTTCAGAATCCTTGACTCCAAGGAACATTCTGGCTTCACCCTCTTCAGGGCAAACTTGTTCATGGTATATTCAATACTCTTCTCCAGTACCACCGCTCAAAGGCATCAGTTCTCCTTCCATCATCCCTAGTCATTCTCCAGCTTTCTGATGCATAGCAAGTAATTGCAAACACCATGGCCTGTATCAGGTGCACCTTAGTCTCCAGACTGACATCATTGCTCTTCAGTACTTTGGAGAGGTCTCTGACAGCAGACTTTGCCCAGTGGAATTCATCTTTTAATTTCCTAGCTTCTGGAAGAGGCTTAGCGTACAGGTAATTACTGTTAGAACAGAAGGATCACCTCATTTTAATATTTGTTAATGGTTTCTCTAGTTTGAGCATCAGTTTAAAATTTTAAATTTTTTAAAATTTTCAACAGTCATATAACCCTTTCATTCATATAACCATTTTTCATGAGGCTCACTTTATGTTCATGTTTTTAATGCCGGACTATTTATTTCCTTCTTGTTAAAGATAAACTCAAGACAGAGCAAGCTGTTGGAATTGGCAATGAGATATTCCTCTCTTGGGATTATGATCCCAACATGACTTGTGACTACGTTATTAAGTGGTGTAACTCGTCTGGGCCTGGACCCTGCCTGATGGACTGGAAGAAAGTTCCTTCAAACAGCACAGAAGCTGTAATAGAGTCTGGTAAGATTCATTGTCAGTTAAGACTCTTCAGAAGGATTCTAGAAAAGAGCAACAGTAGCCGGTGTGCCTGAGGGACGGCCCGTTGATGATTTTCCGTTACCACTGATGTGGGAATGAAGTGATTGAACTTTTGCCCTGAGGTCTGGGATTGTAGCCCTGTGCATAGGAATTATGTACCATTTCCCCAACCTCATCTCCTCCAGCAATATCTGCTTCCTAAATATCACTAAGGACCCTAGTGTTCAGGGCCTCTGACGTCATCCTTTGTTGCTTTTTCTGGTCTCCTCTGAATCACTTGGTGTGTCATTTAAGATTCTACGGCATCTGAGCTGTCCCTCTAGAGTAGGCTGTTGTAGTTAACACTAGAGAGTGTTGTAGTTGACCCTGTCTGTCCCTGTACTCAGTGCCAGAGACCATCTCTGTGTCCCCAACATATCACAATTCACAAAGCCTATAGGAGAAGCCTTTAAAAGGGGTTTTTTGAACTGAAATGCAAATGCTGCCCATTCTGTCTTCCCTGAACCATCAGGAACCTGGGTGTCTTAATAAACAGGTGGCTGAGCTCCTGTCAGAGTAGCCTGGTGCTCACTCCTTTGGGGATGGGCTTTAGTAGATGAGAGGTGGGCCTGCAATGAGGGGTGAGCTAGTGCAGGGTCAGATAGAAGGGAAGAAGTTGTCTTTCCTTGATTTTAAGGAACAAAATAGAAGATTTGATCCCATTTTTCTCCCTCTATCATGGTGAGTCCATGCTAGAATGCTAGATTTATAATAACAATGGAAGTTAGTTTTTATTAGTTTAAAATTTTTGTTTAGCTGGATTTTACTCATTTAGTTTCTTCTTTTAAATTTTTTTAGTTTTATACTGATTTACTTAACAAACATTGAATACTTGTTTTTCACAAAAGATCCTTCCCATTTCCCTCACCCCCCGAGCATTAAATTGTGCACCCTATAATTAACACCCCACCCCACTCCCATGCCCATCTTCACCCCTCTGCTTCCACCCTCTCCGCCCCCACCTTGGATCCTCATACTCATTCTACAACAGTAGTTTTATACAGTATTTGTCCTTGTAGGACTAAGGTAGTTCACTCAGTATAATGCTCTCCAGTCCCTCCTAAGTTAGATAGTAATTTACAAAATGATTGCTCCTGCGTGCTGCGTAGTTTCCGCTGTATGAACGTACCACAAGTTCTCAATCCATTCATTTGTAGATGGACATCTGGACTAGTTCCATGTTCTTGCAATGGTGAATAACACTGCCATGAACATTGGTGTACAAGTCTCCATTTGAGCCTCAGTTCTTATTTTCTTGGAGTATATGCCAAGCATTGGAATAGCTGGATCATATGGTTTTATTTGTATAATCAGTAACATCTTGAAGTATAAAAATTAGCTTGAAAATGTTAAAAAAACCAACAACGAAACAAAGCTCCAAACCCACGACTGTCAAGTCTGTGCCAACTCCCAGCAGCTTCCTAAAGGATGGAGTCAATCTGCCTGCAGTTGCCAGAGTTTCTTTCCTGAAGGAAACTCTTCTCTTTGTCCCATAGAGCCGCTGGCAGGTGCAGAGTATGGACCATTGGGTTAGTGGCTGAGCGCTTTGAGCACTGTGCCACCAGGGCTCCATTGAAAACATTAACGTTTGCATAAGTCCAGTATTTCTACAACAGCTTTTGTGATTTGTGTTTATGAGTGTTTACTGATGATTTTCATCCTGTAGATCAGTTTCGGCCTGGTGTACGATACAGTTTCTTCCTGTATGGATGCAAAAATCAAGGATATCAGTTATTACGTTCTGTAATTGGATATATAGAAGAATTGGGTAAGTTAAATGGTACTTTTTTTTTAAATGAGTGTGAAATAGCATGTGAGAAATTAGAAATCAATACCAGTAGTGAGAATGGGTTAACATTGCTTTACTCAAGAAAGGAGAAATAATTGCTAAAATTGATTGTTTTTACTTATTTTTTTAAAAAAGTTTTCTAATTTTAAAGAAATGTTTTCTCATTTTCGTATAATCTACTATGTTGGAGATGAAAAGGTGAGAAAAATGGGAGTTGCTTTCATATTTAAAAAAGGCTATTTCTAGATCCATCTTGAAGTACGATATTGTGAGTGAAAGGATAATGTCCATATGCATACAAGGAAGACCTATTAATACCACTATCACTCAAATTTATGTATCAATAACCAGAGTTAAAAAGGAGGAAATGGATGATTTCTATAAACTTTTGCAGTCAGAAATTGATCAAACATGCAACCAACATGCAATAATAATAATGTGTGACTGGAATGCAAAAGTTGGAAACCAGGGAGAAGGATTAGCAGTCGGAAAACATGGGCTTGGTGACAGAAATGAGGCTGGGGATAGAATGATAAAATTCTGCACAATGAATGATTCAGTCATAGCAAATACATTTTATAAGAAGCATAAATGCAGACTAGACACTGTTTTCATTAAGGATCATGAGAAATATTGAAAAGCTTATACATTTAAAAGTTGTTAACTTATTCAGGATTAGAATATACAGCTGAAGTCTATCTGAGTTAGCCACTAACAGTGTCACAAGTCTTCCTGAATGGATATGTTGTATGAGAGTTGTTTGATGGAATTTTTTGGATCTGTATTCATTAGTATAAGATTCACTGGACGTGTTTGTGATAACATCTCTGAAAGCTTATGATTAAGTAGAGAAATGAAGTTTTAATTCAAAACATGGACTTTGTGAGGCTAAACACCTCAGGTAACATAGTGACATGTCCGTTGGCAGTTGATTTTTTAAATTTTTCCTTTTATAGCTCCAGTGGTTGCACCAAATTTTACTGTCGAGGATACTTCTTCAGATTCTATATTAGTCAAATGGGAAGATATTCCTGTGGAAGAGCTTAGAGGCTTTTTAAGAGGATATTTATTTTACTTTGGAAAAGGAGAGAGGGGCACATCTAAGATGAGAGGCTTGGAATCAGGTAAGTAAAGGACAGCTTGTGTATAATAGTTGTTAGTAACCCTCCATAAACTGAAGCAAAAGAAAGTGCTGGTGAGTCACTTAATACTGCTTTCCCAAACCATTCGAAAAACAGGGACATGGAATTGTCGTTGTTCTAAAATAAGAGAACTGTAAGGTTTTGGCATGTGATAAATGACATGTATGGGCTTTGAGCAATTTTTAAAAAAATTGTTTCTTTGAAAACCTTTGATTATCAGCTCCCATAAAATAGAGTCCATTCTTCTTACTAGCCTTGTGTGGTACTTAACACAGTATCATATAATGTTGACTTAAAATCAAAACAAACAGTTCCCACAAGAAGCAAGTCTTCTTGCACTTAGCATAGTGGAGAACAAGATAATCACAAAAGTGGATTGGAACCTAAGAAGTTGTCCGTGTTCTTGTCTGTGTTAGCCCTGGGCTTAGTGAGCAGGGAAAGGTAGCAGACCCATTGTTGTTGTTGGTACGTGTCGTCAAGTTGCCTGCAACTCATAGCGACCCTGGGTACAACAGCTCTGAAGCCTGCCCTGTCCTGAGCCAGTCACACTGACTCTGACACACCTACCCCCATGGTCCCAGTTACTGTATCAATCCATCTCATCCAGGGTCTTCCTCTCCTGTGCTGTCCCTCCACCTTTCTGAGCATGATGTCCTTATCCAAGGACTGGTCTCTATTAGCCACGAGTCCAAAGTATATGGGATGGCACTTCAAAATCCTAGTCTCCAAGGAGAGACTTGGTTTCACCCTCTCAAAGACAGACCTATTTGCTTTCTTGGTAGTACATAATTTGTTCAAAACTCATCTCCAGCACCACAGCTTAAAGACATCAATTCTTCTGTTATCCCAGTCCAGGGATTTTAAATGTAGAAAATTTTTTTTTTAATCTGCATTTTTAACCAGATTCTCTAGCTGCTCCTTTTAAGATCCTGGGGATCTTGTTAAAAAGTAGGTTCTGATTCATTATATCTAAGTGGAGATTCAGATTCTCAGCAAAACGTTGAAATCATTTGGGAACCCTATCAGGGAGGTAGTAGGTCCAGAGACCTTAGCAAATTCTTAACTAGCCTGACACCAAAATATTTGTACAGAGTTCTGACCTTTCTCCAATTAAGTTTGTATCAGAAATTGTATTTCTTCTTTGTAGCTGCATATCATAAACTTAATCTTTCCAACTTCGAGCTCTCATTTCTCTTAGTGACCTCTCCTCCAAAAGAAACCATTTTAATTATTTAATGACTGACTGGCAAGTTGAGAAAACTTGCTGTGTTGGGATGCTGACTGGCTCTCAAATTCTACAGACACCTCGAGTCTGGTGTAACTACTCATGCTCAGACATTCTAAGACACTTCCAGCACCTGAATTTCCGATGAGATGCGAATTGGTCACACGCACTTACCTTTACTCCCCAAATTTTACTCAAATTAGAGTCAGAAAGATAAAAATATACAAAGTGGCAAAGACAAGGAAGAGAGGAAAGGCTGAACATGTGAGGATTCATAAATTTGGGAGTGGAGTGAATGACTTAGAAGAGTGAAGGACGATGAAATAGAAGTGCTGGCAGTGGATGGGACACGTCCCAGTGAGCAGGCCTGTGGTTCACCTGCAGAACCAGGTGGTGAATCACGGTGACAGGGATGCATCAGGGATGATGTAAGAATTGATGAGAGCATCCATTCTCCAAGTTCCTCCCCAACTTTGTACAGTTTTTTCAGTGACTGTGTCTCTCCCATGCTCAGAGAAACTGAACCAGAGAATCTCCAGAATTTTTGGATAAAGTCTTAGACTTAAAACAGGTGTATAACTTGCTAACATTATACTCAGCCTTCAAGAAGAGACACATATTAACCATCAAGTCAGAACTGATGCATAGCTGACCCTCCAGCGGGTTTTCAGAAGCAGTATATCACATGGGAGGAGATGGCCTGTCTTTCTCCCACAGAGCAGCTTTGGTGGATTGAAACACATTCCTTCGGGGAGATACGACAACTTCTTACCACTTAGCCACTAGGGCTCCCTTGAAGAACAGAGAAGAGCCTTTATTTGGAGGCTTAGCCAGTGTGGGGCGAGGTGGGGGTGGGGGGCAGGATCCAGGAACAAAGGCTGTTCTGGGGGGTTTCCTAAACTCCATCCCACCAGGTATCCAATACATAAAACTCAGCTCATTGCCCTCATTGCCTTTGAGTCAGACCCAACTTACAGCTGACCCTCCAGCAGGTTTTCAGAGGCAGTAGACAGCATGGGAGGGAATTCCCATCTTTGTCTTGCAGAGAAGCAGCTGATGAGTTCAGACTGCTTGCCTTTGGGTTGGCAGGGCAGCTCGTTACCCACCATGCCTCCAGCAGGGCAGCTCGTTATCCACCATGCCTCCAGAGCTTTTTATCCAGAACATAAGAGAGGGAAACCGAGGTTGAATAACACTAGTCAGTTGGCTTGAAGATGACTCAAAACATTTTTGTTACATGTCTTTTCTGGTGCTGGTTATCACTGTTATCAGTTTTGAAACTTTAGGGTTTTATCTCTTCCTGTCAGGCAAGACATCCAAATGCCTCTCTGAAGGTTGTCCTGTGATAACTCGAACAAGTTATGCGGGTTCTAAACATTCCTCTCCTAGTCTTAGAAGACACATTTACAGTAAAATTACCAAAGGGTTAGTTACAAGAAAAACAAAACGACATCAGAAGCCTCAAGTACTTCCCTGCAGACCCCCTTTGAGTCATTAAGGTGAGGCACTTCTGGGCCTTAGCTTCAAAATAAGATGATTCCTTCAAAACTACAGGATTCTTTCAAATCCCAGCTTGCAGTCTGAGATAGGTCGGACTTTGCACTCAGCTTCTTCAGGTCTAGAGGAGCGCCAATTCTGGAATGACAGATCACAGTTTGGGGCCTTCTAGTTCAGGTGCTTTGGAGGACAGTGCTCTGGCTGGTCCTCCTGGAGTGGAGTGGGGTGTCTTTCAAACTTGGTGCAAAATCTGGTCACTGGATTACAACTTGTGTGCAGTCTTCTTGGAGACCCATGTTGGAGCAGCATAGCTTTATGAAGCTTAGAGAAAGTATTAGTTAAAGAAGCTACATATTTGGTTGCTAATACTTCATGAGACCATTTTTCACTAGATAGACCTCGGTAGGGAGACTGGTTAAGGAAGTGTGGCCGTCTATACATTGTCTCAGGTGTCTAATTGTCCACTTTCCTGTGGTGCTGCACAAAACCAGCAGCGTGCATTGACCTAGGCTAGCTTAGTTTTCCGACACAGTATACTCAGGTATGTCAAGTACTTTCCTCTCTACCACTGGACCGAGGTCCCCAGGCCTCCTAAAGCTTCCACTTAAATCCTATGGTCCTGAAAATGTCCTGTACTCTATTGTTATTATTGGGTGCTCTTGAGTCAAGTATGCCTCATAGTGACTCTTGTGTCCCATCCTTATCATCCCTGAAAAGTGTAAACGCCCATCACTGCAGTCACCATGTCAGTCCCTCTCCTTGAGTCTCTTTTCTTTCCACTCACCTCCACCTTTCCAAACATGATACCCCTCTCCAAGCAGCAGGCTCTCCTAGTGATGGACTCAAAGTATGTGAGATGAAACTTGGTCATCCTTGCCTCCAAGGAGCATTCTGGCTTTAATGTATCCAAGACTTAACTGTTTTGGTGGGTTTTTTCCCCATGGCATTACATGGGATAGTCAGCACTTTTCTCCAACACAGCAGTTCAGAGGCATCAGTTCTTTTGTCAACCTTATTCATTGTTCAGTTCTCAGCACCATTACAAGTCATTCTTTTTTCTATATTTTCATCACAAGTCATTTAAAAGACCATGGCCTGAATCAAGTGCACCTTAGTCTTCACACTGACCTCATTGCTCCTTTGTAATTTGGAGAATCCCTGAGAGCAGACTTGCTCAGTGCAATGCATTTCTTTATCTCCTGACTGCTGGTACCAAGGATGTTGATTGTGAATCCAAGAAAGGTGAACCATTGACAACTTCATCTTTTCTCCGTGTGTCATGATGTCAGTTAGTGGTCCACCATTGAGAATTTTTGTCTTCTTGATGTTGGACATGATCCACACTGAAGGCTGTAGTCTGATTGCAGCAAGTGTTTCAAGTCCTCCTCAATTTCAGAAAATAAGGTTGTATCATCTGTACAGTGCAGATTGTTGATGAGTTTTCCTGCAATCCAGATTCCACATTCTTCATAGAGTCCAGATTCTCAAATGATATGTTCAGTTCACAGACTGAGTAAGAAAAAGATTAACAATGCAGATGCACACCTTCACTGATTCTAAACCATGCAGTGTCCCCTTACTCTGTTTGGACAGCTGTTTCTTGGTATACGTAGAGGTTTCATATGAGCATAATTAAGGGTTCTGGAGTCCCCACTCCTCTCAGTGTTAGCCATAGTTTGTTATGATCCACATAGTCAGATGCCTTTGCAATAAAACAGAGGTAGACATTCTTTTAGTATTCAGTGCTTTCAGCCAGGATCCATCTGACATCAGCAGTGATATCCCTGGTGCCACAGCCTCTTTTCAACCTAGCTTAAACTTCTGCTACTTCCCTTTCCGTGTACTGTTCTAGACATTTTTGGATGATCTTCAGCAATATCTTGCTTACTACTTGTGACCTTAATGATTTTGTTTGATAATTTTCACATCTTACTGAATCACCTTTCTTGAGAATGGGAACAAATACGGATCTTTTCCCATCAGCTAGCCAAATAACTATCCTCCGAATTTCCTGACATAAACTGGTGAGCACACCCAGGGCTGCATCTGTTAGTTGAAACATATCAAATGGCATCACATTAATTCCTGAATCCTATAGGGCAGGATAGGCATCACATGGGAGCCATTGTCACTCTTGAGACGACCATGCTTTGAAAAGTAGAGGGTCAGTGAAGGAGAGAAGATGGTCGAGGACATGGATTGACATAATGACTACAGTAGTAGGCTTAAGCAGAGCAGAGATGGAGCAAGTTTTCATTCAGTTGTGCATAGGGTCGCTAGGAGTTGGAGCTGGTTCTATGGCACCTAAGAGTCTTACCAATTGCCTGCTGCATGGCAGGCATTTTTCCTAGAGCCCCTTCTATTAAGCTCTGTGAGATAAGGCATGATATTCTGTTATATAGAGAAACTGACGTTCAGACTAATAATAACCTTCCTTTTTAAAAACAGGCCGCTCTGACGTAAAGATAAAGAATATTACCGACCTCAATCAGAAAACATTGAGAATTGCTGATCTTCAAGGTAAAACCAGTTACCACCTCGTGCTGCGAGCCTACACAGATGGTGGGATAGGCCCCGAGAAGAGCATGTACGTGGTGACAAAGGAAAACTGTAAGTGTGATCTCCGGATTCCAGTGTTTTTTAAACATAAATGCTTATCTAGTGTTTCTGGCAATTTGCCATGTCTTGAGCAACCCTTTTTTGGGTTGTTTTTAGATGTCAGGTGTAGCTGCATTTCTGTGGTGGGTGGAGAGCTCTAACAAAACACTAATTAGGGATCCATCAGAAGCCAACAGTTCTAAATCCCTGTTTCATTTATCTAAGTCAGCTGACCTTTTGAGTTGATCTCAACTAGTTCAACTCTAGTTTTTAGCACATTTAATTGAAATGTCATGATTTATATTTTTAAGCACAGCATTTATAAAATTGAGATGTGTGTCACTATCCATCAGCATTCCTGAAACTTTAGGAGATGAGACTTGCATTGACTCTACCCTTGAGTTGAGTCCACGTACAGCTCATACAGAAAGAGTTGTGATCTCTAAAGCTGTGGTTCTCTGGTTTTTTCCTCCACCAGAAGGCACCTGGCAATGTCTGGTGATATTCCCGGTTGCCATGATGAGGAAGGGAGGCAGGCATTACTGGCATTTCTCGGTAGAGGTCAGGAATGCTTCTAAACTTTTACCACGCACCAGACAGCCCCTCTCAGCAAAGAATTGTTATGTGCTATTGAGTTCGTTCCAACTCCTAGCAACCCATTAGGACAGAGTAGAAACATCTCATGGGATTTTTCTGTGCTGTATTCTCCACAGGAGCAAATTGCCCCTAAGTCTTTTCTGTTGTGGAGCTGCTGGTGGGTGGAGTCAAGCTCTTGGTTTTTTTGATCACCATCTAAGTGCTTAACAATTGCTCCACTGGAGTGTTCCTTAACCAGGAATTGTCTAGCCTAAAATACCTGTAGTGCTAAGACTGAGAACCTTCTGGAAACAATTTAAATATTAAGATTATAAGGGAGCTCTAGTGGGTTGGTGGTAGGGAGTTGCACTGCCAGCCCAAAGGCATGCTGTTCTAAGGTACCAGTTCTGCTGTTCTAATCTACCAGCTCTTCCTTCCCAGGAAGGTGAATTGTCTCCTCCTGTGCAATTTACAGCCTCTGAATTCCTGCTGTGGAGGGTCAGCTGTGAGTTTATATATATGTATATAATGCTTTGAAGTTGTGTTATTATAGTCTTTCAGTGTCATTAGGAGTTCTGATGGTGCTGTGGTTAGTTGAAACATTTGACCATTATTAAAACATTGATGGTTATAACCCACCAGCTGTAACTCACAGGGCAAAGATGAGGCAGTCTGCTTCTGTAAGGACCTACAGCCTTGGAAGCCTTAAGGGAAAGTTATGCTTGCTTTGTCCTGTGGAAGCTTGTTGAGTCTGAGTCAATGTGGCTTTGGATTTGAGTTGGAAGGTTACAGTGTCCTGAACTATTAATATTAAGCCTTGACAATGACCTAGCAACTTAAATAACTCTTAATGCAAATTTATCATATACTTCATACTCCAGAGGGTGACTGATTGTTTGCAACCTTGTCTTTTCAGCTGTGGGATTAATCATCGCCATTCTCATCCCAGTGGCAGTGGCCATCATGGTTGGCGTGGTCACTAGCGTCCTCTGCTATCGGAAGCGAGAATGGTAATGTGTCCTGTGTGTATGTACTCTGCCTGTGGTCTTCGGGCATAGGCATGGAATGTCTCAGATACAACTGGCTGTAACTAATTAGTGGGGGGAAAGGTGATCTAGTTAGGCTTAATCTTGAATTTAATATTAGGCAAGAATGTGGCAGCATATTATTTAAAGGATGAGAGTGTAAATTTTTCCCTACCATTTTTACTGATAAGGTGGTAAGACTGTACTGAAGAAAAATTACAAGCACAATAAATATGGCGATAGCAGTATACAAAATTGAATGTCATTTGCCAGTTAAGATCTCCTTTGGAAGCTCTGGTGGCCCAGTGGCAAGAAGTTGCACTGCAATCCCAGAGGCACGCAGTTCAAATCCACCAGATGCTCTGCTGGAGAAGGAGGGGCAGTCTCTTCCTGTACCAGTCGGATCTGATTTGACAGTACAGACGCAAAAAATATTAAAATAAAAATTAAAAGAATATTTCAATTAAAAAAAAAAAAGATCTCCTGTGTTCCTAGTGACCTACTTGTGTCATCTGGCCATTTACTCATTTATTCAACAAATCTGCTATATTCCATCAAGAGCAAAATAAATGTGGTCCTTACAGACTTGGCCTATGATAGGGAAGATGGACACTAAGCCCCTCTCAGTCGGTAGATAATTCTTTTTCAGCATGTGTATGACAGTTGAGCCATGTGTCAGTGCAGATGAATGGTCAGGCACGGCTTCTCAGCATGGCTGAGTCCTCTGCCGAGTCCCCAGAGTGAATAATGAGGGGGGAGAGTGTACCAGTGTCGTGTCCATGAAGGCCCCCAGCAGAAAGAATTCAAATAGAATGTGAGGAAGCATGATATGGTTTAAAGTGAGAGTGAATGGCCTTCTGTGGGTACGTGGACAGGTCCTGGACCGCACCGTCCTGTGGGAAGAAGAAGGTGCAGTCCAGCAGTCCTGGGTGTAAACCCAGGGTAACAATTCTAATCTCATTAACAGAATCAACCATTTCACATGTAAAGCAATGATTTCCCCTTACTCCTCTAGAGCAAAGATATGACAAGTACTTAATATTAGTAGTTAGAATATGTTCAGATTAAGATTAATGAAGTTATTTTTCCTACAGACATTTAATACTTACATATGTAAATATTAAACTACATTGAGCAAATAAAAGGTTTTTTAAAAAAAATTTGCATTTCATTTCCACTTTAAATTAATAGCGTTTTTTAAGCACAGCAAATAAAGTATTCATAACAGGGTTATCATTTCTATTGCTGCTTTGTATTTGTTTTTGTTTTAACATAGGTAAAGCTTGTTACACAGCACCTGGGTTAGTCCAATCCTGTTTCAAGGAAAGGAGACAGGTATATTGCACAGATGGACTCAGTCAATCCCGCTTAGTCCATTTTGCAGTAGGAAATTTGTATTGTATGGACAATTCCTCTGCTTTTCACTTGATAGCTCACTGAACTTTTAAATCCATCATCCAACCTTTACTTTCCATTTTCTCAAGGTACAGCCAGTATTGTCATTGTAGAAAGAAAAGGTCCTGTTGCTGGTTTCCCCTTTAGCACCTCCCACTGCATTGCCTAGAAAGTTCTCATGAGTGATCACACACCCCAGGGTCTCCTGTGTTCATGTCAGGTCCTCATGAAGTAAAACAGTCAAATGAAAAATTCAGTTAGAATTTTGAGTTTTTTGTTAGCTGGTGGATATGCTTATGGTTATTAAATTAACTGAATCACTTTCTATTTAAAGGATTAAAGAAACCTTCTACCCTGATATTCCGAATCCAGAAAATTGTAAAGCACTACAGTTTCAGAAGAGTGTGTGTGAGGTAACCTTGAATGTTCTTGCCTTTGTCATTGAAAGTACTGGCTTCCCTCTTTCGGTTTTCTGAAACAAAACTTTGACATGTTTCAGCAGGGGGAATGCTATCCTAAGTAATGAAATGAGAAGATACTGCTACAACATCTGCTGGATTTCTGAAAATTTGAAATTTAAATTGTGTATTCCATGCTTCTCCCCCACCACCCGTACTGTCAGTGAGTTAAAGATGGACACTGTCCTTCTGTGGCGTTTACCTGCTGCAGGTTCCAAGTCCTCAACGCTTGCTTACAGTTAATAGCAAGAAAAATGTGTTGAGATGGAGGCGCTAAATGGCTTTGATACAATATGTACAAGGGAGCAGTGGAAATTTTTACATGCAGATATGAACAAACTGTAAAATACAGTCCCCCTTTTTGTATGTGGGGGCATTGCATCCACTTTTAGTGCTGTCCTTAACCCATGCTTTTATATTCCTTTCTAGGGAAACAGTGCTCTTAAAACATTGGAAATGAATCCTTGCACCCCAAATAATGTCGAGGTCCTGGAAAGCCGGTCCGTGGTTCCTAAAATAGAAGACACAGAGATCGTCTCCCCGGTAACCGAGCATCCTGAAGAAAGCTCGGAGGCAGACGCTGGAAACCCTGTGGTCGTGTCCTACTGCCCCCCGATCATCGAGGAGGGCGACGAAGCCGGAGGGGCGTCCCAGGTGGTTTACATTGATGTTCAGTCAATGTACCAGCCGCAGGCCAAGCCCGAGGAGGAGCAGGAGAGCGAGCCCGCCGGGGGCTCAGGCTATAAGCCACAAATGCACCTCCCGGTGACCTCTGCTGTGGAAGAGGCGCCTGCAGACGATGACCTAGATAAAACTGCCGGCTACCGACCTCAGGCAAATGTGAACACTTGGAATTTAGTGTCGCCCGACTCGCCCAGGTCCACAGACAGCAACAGCGAGCTGGTCTCCTTTGGAAGCCCCTGCTCCATCAACTCCCGGCAGTTCTTGATTCCTCCCAAAGACGAAGACTCTCCCAAGTCCAGCGGAGGAGGCTGGTCCTTCACAAACTTTTTTCAGAACAAACCCAACGACTAACAGCGTCACTCCATCGTCACTTCAGTCTCCATCTCAGTAAGCTCTTAGCTGCTGGGGCCGCCAAGCCAGCACCGGCGTCCTCGGAGGGACCCTGTGAAGTATTGTCAGCGAGGTGAGCTTCACCTCCCGCGACTTCCACTAAAAGTGTTACTGTGCTTTGGATGGAGTCTCAAAACCAAAGTATATAACCCAGTTCCAGTCCATGAAACTCAAGATTGGGAGCCGTTAGTGATTTGAGCCAAAGAACCCTCTGCCTCGTCCATGCAAAACACATCCCCCAGCAGCTGCTTTCAGGCCCCTTGTTGGTTTTTCTCACAGGTGGACTTTCTGGCCTCGGAGCCCCCTGACGGGGGAGGCAGGCACGAGTCCCCTCAACAGATGATGTTTGTGCACCTGGCATTTGCTCTCTGTGAGATAAACACCAAGCACAGATTTTTCCCGTTTCAGTGGTCCTCCCCCATCTGCAATGTTTGAAAATGTTAATGTCCTTTGGTTTTGTTTTGTTGGGTTTTTTGTTCTGTTTTGTTTTTTATTGTAGCAGTAGCTGTTTAGGATTTTGTTTGATAAAGTGTGCTGATTTCTGTGCCTACTGTATGGGGGTGAGCGGATAGTTTGTCTCAGGGGTACAAACGTGGAAAAGAGTGTGACACTGACCAGCCCAAACCAGATCTCGTTCTCTTGCCTTAATAGGTTTCCAGACCTTTCCATTTTCTTTCCAATTTTCTACTGCCTGCCTTCCGTTCTACTTGATTCCTCCAATACTTAAGATTTAGATTTGTGTAACTTTAGGTCTAAGTTTTTAAAAAAATCAATATTGTCTTCTGACACGGTATCAATTTTTGAAAGATGTAAGTGAAGCATATGCCCTTGTCAATATTCTCATCAGCGCATAGTTGGCACTGATTTTGTATTTGAGACTACTGTTGCTTCGTGGATGCTCTGGCCTGCCTTCCTCAGGCATAGACCGTGACACTGGGCCCTGTCTCCAGGCTCGAGGCTCAGATACCTGCTAGCAGCTGCCCTTTGAGGGTCAGGCCTGGTAGTTCCTCTCTCCTATGAGATCTTGAGTTCTGACTTCTTGAGCCCCTTTTCAAGTTTTTCAACCTAAAATTAACAAGGTGACACTCCTTACAGAAACAGTGACTCATGGGCTGTTTTCTAGAAAATGTTGCTGAACTTCCATTTGAACAGAAAGAATGGGCACACCAGCATCCGAGGGAGCGATGGCTCCATCACTGGTCCTCGGCACGGCGGCCTCTCCCAGCCTCCTGTCACAGCAGTGTCTAGTGCAGACAGTGCTGTTCTGGGAGAATCAGAGTGGAAACGACAATGCTGCTCCTGTTTTACTTCCTCGCATTTTGTCTCTTCTCAGTTAATACAGAAGTCCTTAACATTTCAAATCTCTAAATTAAAACCTATTTGTTCTTTTAACCATCTAAGGTTCTGAACATATTTACAAATGATAAAGCGTAAGGTGTTTGGTTTGGTTTCTCTTGCTTATAACTTACTTAGCCTTTGAAAACCATGTTGTAGAAAAGGGCCACGTGGTGAAAAGGAGCAGAACTTGATTGAGCACTCTGTTTAGGAAACCTAATTCCAGCTACCGGGGTTTCCCCCAAACCTCGAGGTTCGTACTTCCTGGGTATGTGGAGTGAGGGTGAACCCCATACACACAGCGTTTACCAGAACTGTGTAGGAGTATGTGGAAACTGCCCATGTTGGAGAAGAGGTCAAGCCAGAGCCCTGCAGAGCTTTTTTGTCTCCCTGTGTCCTCGCTGTGGCCCTTCTTCTCAGCGTCCCCCAGATACTCAGCCTGGGGCCACCTTCGCTGGCGTCTCTGTGGCTAGCCCCTCCCTCACCCAGCCAAAGCTGGTCCTGACCATTCCCAGTCCGCCCCTCTTCCCTCTGGGACCTGCTTCTTAGTCTGCGCTAACCTGAGGTAACAGGACGAGGCCTCATGTTTGGTGTCTTTCATCAGCCTCTGCATTTCTGCTGTGACTCGCTCGATCCTTACCCCTTCCCACCTGAACATCTAACAGTTCATTTGTTCTGCAAATGGTAGAGGTCTAGGTGCTCTGAAATCTTTCACTTTGCCTAAGACTTGACTGATGTTCCTGCATAAAGAAGGTCTCAAGGGCCCTTCCCCCTGCCCTTCTGGAGCTCAGTGGACCCCACACAGAGGTCATTAGCCTGAAGGGAAGCAGAGGAGCTCTGCCCCTGGGCAAGCCTTAACCACCCCCAGCTCCACTGTGTGGAAGAACTCAGTGTAGGCATGGGGCCAGAGCAGGTTTTCCAGGCCCTTCCTCCTGGGTTGAAGATGGCCAGAGCCGCCAGACCTAGTCCTTCCTCCTGCATTGAAGAGCTGAGGCGGTTACTGGTGTTATCCCAGCCCCCTCCAGTCCGCTTGTGCATTTCAGGGTGCTCTGCACCAGGGGGGAGAGAGCAGGAGCAGTGTGTAGGTAGCTGGTGGCTCTGAGGACCCCAGGAATGGTGCACTGCTCCCCACTGTCAGGTCCACCTCGCATACGCAGGGCACACGCATAAAGTAGTCCTGGTGGTGGAAGATAGCTGCTACCACAAATGTCAGAAGTTCAAGTCCTTCAGCCACTGCGAGGGAGAGAGATTGGCAGCTGGGAAGCCTGACAGAGCGTTGCTGAGAGTTGGAGCTAGCTTGAAGGCAGTGGGTTTGATGTTTGGTTTCTTGGTACCCAGGCCTCCCTCACATGTGCAAGGCAGTCTGATGTGGTCCTGCCACCTCCAGTCATGTGCTTCTCCCTTAGGTTAGACGTGTTCCCTCCAGCCCTTCCTGACTGGAAGCCAAGTGGATAATCTGTTTCTCGTCACCTTTTATTAGTCCTTGGTGAGAAGGGTCTAGAAGTCTGGACTAGAATTAGTGTTTCAGTCTTATACCCAGAGTTGTCTGCTGTATTTCCGATCAGCCTCCTCTGTCGGGATTGGAGGCTCATCACAAATGAAAATTAATGTCACCATAATCTTCGGAGTCTGAACTAGGCTTTTGACATTTGATGGACATTGTAAATGATGCGTTGCGTGGATTAGTGCACGCACAGTGAAGAGCCTCTGGATGCGTTGAACCTGCGTGGAGGCCAGGGTCCGAGATTATGGCTGGGCCAGATGGTCTGGATAGTTGCATCCTTGTGTTTATGTGCTCGTGTGCTAGAGATGCTTTGTTCCTGCAGCTAAGAAGTAGAAGCTGCCATTCACTGAGAGATCTGGGGAAGGAAGTAGCCTCATTTCCATGCCATCATTGCTGCCACAGCTCATGGCTCAGAAGGCTTCATTTAGAGCATGTGGTCCCACTGCGCCCCCAGAAACTGGCAAAAAGTCACATCCTCCACACTCCATGCAAATTGTATTCTTGTCAGGAATTAGTCCAGTGATTTCTTAATTGTCTTCATACCATCCATAGTTAAACAAAAATAGCAAAGGCCTTTCTGTGTTTGAATAATTAGATAGAGCGTAACAATAGAGACTAAGGGGTATTGTCTTCCAACAGAATTTGAAGTCAGTTAATGGCATTTCCGAATTAAAGTCCTCTTTATCATGTTATCAATATTAAGGGAAAGTAAACACATTTTTACACTGGTCAGGCAGAATGGAAACAACACGTTTATTTCCATTTGTGGAAACAACACTTATTGTTGTGTTCAAAATTGTTTTTGCTGCGTTTTTGCTTTGAACCAGGTTAAATTTTGTCTATCTTTATAAAACACCGTTCCTTCTGTTAAAAATGTGGAATAGGGCACCACTCAAGTAATACTTGTGATGATTAACTAAAGCAATGAGGCAGCTGACTGAATAATTTGAGTACCATCCCTGAGGTTGAAAACTAGTGTCCCAGCAGGCGTAACCACAGCCCTTTTCCCTGGTGGGTCTGTCAACATCTCGTATGTGTAGATCTCACACTGTTGGTTCTGCCATGGAAGTGGCTTTGCAGTTTAAGCTCTTGGGAAACACTGGTGCATTACCACCAGTAGACACTTTATTTCTTTCTAGTTTTAAATGTGCATATTTGGTTTGGGGTTTTTATTTTGTTTTTGGGGTAGGTTTTTTGTTTGTTTGTTTGATTACACAGCAAAAAGCCATAAACTCTAATGTAGCAACAAGTCCTGAAGATGGCACATCACCTGGCAAAGTTTTGTTCTGTTATATATCAGGTTGCCATGAATCTGAGGCTTTGAACACCACGTAACCTGGGGCGTGTTCGTGCTGAGCAGTAATGCATTGATGTATGTCCTCAATTAAGTCCTAGAAGAACTCATTCTATTGATAAAAGATTACTTCAAAGCATTTATTCTAAACTGGCATTTCCTACTCCGAGTTTCATGGTATCATGCCCATCTTCTCAGAAGGAAAATTTTCACACACAGTGGTTCATGGCCAAACTTCAAATACATCTTTGAGACTTAGTTTTAGAGTATCATGGGAAATAATTTGGTTTGAATTCGGTTTCTTTATATCTTCAGAAATTATGCACCAGGACTTTTAATATTTAAAATTCTTATTTCGCTAGGGTCACCAGGACTGTTAATATTTAAAGTTCTTATTTCACAAGGGTGGTTGGATTTTTATTCTTTTCCAGTTAATGTCTTTGTCTAAATTATTACATGATTATGCTAATTCTACTAAGGTGAACTATTTTAAATGCTGGAATGGTGGTGTGATTTTTGTGTGTACCATCAAGTCAGAACTGACCCATAGCTGACCCTCCAGTGAGTTTTCAGAGACAATTAATTGCACAGGATGAGATTGCCCATCTTTCTCCTTCAGAGCATCTAGGATTCCAACCATCTGTCTTTGGGATTGCAGCGTAGCTTCTTGCCACTAGGCCATGTAATACTTCAGCCATATTATATACGATAAAGTTTTGGGGTATTCTATTTTATCTAGATTGTATTCAAATCCTTATAATTGTGACATTGGATTATAACAGCTTCCTGTTGGTGTGACCCTAAGTCCTACAGCTCGTTTCTCCGTGT